GAATTCCCTTATTCTTTTCTGGAGGAATTTAGAATTTAGCAAAGATGAATATGGGGCTAGATGCAAACCTACGAATAGTGGATGGGTGGCAAGCTAGTTTTGAAGCAAAGCAGCCTGGTGTCTAGCCACCTTTGACCCATTTATAGGCCTGTATTATACTAAAGCAGTGATTTGTAAGTGATCAGTAAAGAAATTAGTGTTTGCACATTTGAGCAATGTGTGTGAGAGACCTACTGAATAAGTGTATTTTGAATTTTGAATTGGTGTGTTTGGAAAAGAAAAGTAGCTTCCTGTTGGATTTTTTTTTTTTTTTTTTTTTTTTTGTGTGTTTTAGGTAGAAAATTGTGCGTAGTGTTATGAAAAAAAAAAGTGTTTTTTTTTTTTTGCAGTTCAAGGCTAAGAAATAGCTCATGGAGCTATGTATTTGGAGATGTGCTATGTAGTTTTGCAGTTTAAGTGATATGTTTCAGAGAAGATAAAAAATAAATATTCAACAACAAAAAAAATATTTGAGTTAAACTAAAATAACACATCTCTTGTTTTCTCTTCGCAGCTGGAGAATCATTTCAGCCCCAACTGTTCATTCTGGAACTACTCTGAGCGTTCGATGACGGGCCAGTGGTCATCTCAGGGCTGCCGGCTGATCGAAACCAACAGCACACACACAACCTGCTCTTGTAGCCATCTAACCAACTTTGCAGTGCTGATGGTGCACCACGAGCCAGACGTAAGCTCAGCTCTCTTCACATCCATCACCAGCTCACAAACAAACCTGAATATAACTTGCAATACACCTAAACAACTTTACCCACTTACATACAGGCAAACACACACACACACACACACACACACACACACACACACACACACACACAGACACACACACATACACATCTATACGCATATGAGTAAAATACACAAACAAACACACAGCAATTTCAGCTTGACATTTACTGGATTTTCATAAGTCACTCTGCCTCAGGCTGCCTATCCGTTTATAATATTTCCATCTCTTTCTTCATGTCTCTCCTCTCTCTCTCTCTCTCTCTCTCTCTCTCTCTCTCTCTCTCTCTCTCTCTCTTTCTCTCTCCCTCTCTCTCTCTCTCTCTCTCTCTCTATCTATCTATCTATCTATCTTGCTCAAATTCAAAATAAACTGAGGTTTATTGTCGTGACCTGTCAAGTTTCGATAAGGCATTGCAACTTATTGAATACAGATGTACAGTGATAACAGTTTTTCTCAGTTGCTTTGTTACATATTTCAGATCAAAATTGAAATTTGCAAAAACAGTAAGTTCATTTCTCAAAACAATGTGTACAAATAGCAGAACACAATCAATTACCTGTAAAAGCCAGTCTCTTGCTCAAAATACTTTCAAAACTAAATTTCTGTATCAATGAACAAGTCAGTATAATCAGAATTAGAGTCCCTGTGTCATTGTGTATGGATTAGACAGTCAAATTACTTAGTCGTGTTGTCAATACTAAAGTGAACTCTGGAGAGGTGTTCCAGTGTAAACGATGCCAATTATTATTACTATTTTTCCTGTTTGTACTGTAATTTGGTGACATTGTGATACAGAAAGGAAAAGACAGCGCTGCTTAGCACAAAACAGAGAAAAAAAACATAGAAAAGGTGAACAAAGGACAACCTCCTTTTAGACCTTCATTAGAAAAGTCAAGATTAACCTGGAAGAAATGTACTAATTGTAGAAAAAAATGGTCTGATGGAAATGTATAAAAATGCATAATGATGAAAGATAGTTTGATAGACAGACAGACAGACAGACAGACAGACAGACAGACAGATGATAGATAGATAGATAGATAGATAGATAGATAGATAGATAGATAGATAGATAGATAGATAGATAGATAGATAGATAGATAGATAGATAGATAGATAGATAGATAGATAGATAGATGATAGATAGATAGATAGATAGATAGATAGATAGATAGATAGATAGATAGATAGATAGATAGATAGATAGATAGATAGATAGATAGATAGATAGATAGATAGATAGATAGATAGATAGATAGATAGCACACCAGAAAGTACATTTCTGAAAGGCTAAAGAAAGAATTTGGAGTGGCCTAGTCAGAGGCCAGAACTGTATCCAATTGAGATGCTGTGGCATAACCTTAAAAAGGCAGTTCATGCTCGAAAACCCTCCAATGTGGCATGATGAATTGGCCAAAATTCCTCAGCACTTTAACAGACCCATTGCAAGTTATGGAAAACACTTGATTGCAGTTTTTGGTGCTAAGCTTAACCTCACCAAATATTCAAATTTAGTTTTTCTTTAATATCAAAATAATAGCAAAAAAAAAAAAAAAAAAAAACGTCATGATCCGTTTACTTGTGTTATCTCTGACTAACATTACATTTGATTGTTGATCTGAAACATTAGTGTGACAAACATAAAAAAGATATCAGTAAGGGGGGCAAATACTGTTTCACACTAATGTATATATTTACATTGTTTGCTTTTATATTTTATTTTTTGTCTCTCAGTATCCAGGCAGGATGCACGAGTTGATCCTTTTTGTAATCACATGGGTTGGGATCGTCATCTCGCTGGTGTGTCTTGCAATCTGCATATCCACCTTCTGCTTCTTGCGGGGCCTCCAGACTGACCGGAACACGATCCACAAGAACCTTTGCATCAACCTATTCATCGCCGAGCTCCTTTTCCTCATCGGCATCGACAAGACGCAGTACCACGTAAGCAGGCTAAATCTGTAATGCGGCGATAATGAACTTCACCCGGTGATAGTCTGTATTGTTTTAGCATCCGATTAACCAAAGGATTTAAATGTAAACTGCATTAAGTGCTGGTAATTTGCATACATTTGCATGCTACATTTAGCTGTCTGGCGGATGAGTGCTGGCTCTCAGGGCTTGGTTGCAAAGGATGCAGCGGACTATTACAATTCAAAGTAGTTTCTTAACACTGCACAGCATAACTCCATTATATTTTGTGTTGTGTTTACACTTGACAGGTTTTGGTGTGATTGAAACAATATCTGATTGCAACCCTGTGATTTTGCAGGCTCGCAAAAATCAGATGGAGGGCAGGAGGTTAAAACTGAATGAAAGACATGGAGAAAAGTTGTTAAAAAGAGATAAACTTAAATAACAAACACATACAGTATATTGGACGTGGTCCTTATACCATTAACAAGAGGGAGTTTTCTACTAAAACGATATATTAAAAAATTAATAGGTGTCACAGAGGCGCAATGAGTAGCATGATAGCCTCACAGCAAGACAGTCACTGGTTCAAGCCTCAGCTTGGTCAGTTGGCATTTCTGTGAGGAGTTTGCATATTCTTTCCGCGTTTGTGTGGGTTTTCTCCGGGTGCGCTGCTTTGCCCCACAGTCATGCACTATAGGTGAATGTCATAAGCTAAATTTTCCGTAGTGCGTGTGAATGAATGAGGATGGATGTCTTCCCAGTAGTGGGTTGCAGTTAGAAGGGCACCCGCTGTGTAAAGCATATGCTAGATAAGTTGGTGGTTCATTCTGCTGTGGTGACCCCAGATTAATAAAGGGACTAAGCCAAAAAGAAAATTAATCAATGAAAAAAAAAAAAAATAATGATACCTACTAGGGCTGAACGATTTTGAAATAAAAGAAATCAACATAGCCACGTTTTATGTTTCTATATTTTGCGATACTAAGTGTAATTACTGGAATCACTATAATTACTGGAAAGACCAGTCACAATAAACCAGTCACAAACACTAAACAGCAGAGCAATTATGCTATACAATTAAAATGCAGTGTGTTTACAATTTCCTGGAAAACAGTAATTTAACTTCCTAATTTATAAGGAAAATGTATACACTAACCGGCCACTTTATTAGAACAATATATTTAATATCACACAAGTAGCACTGTGATGTGGCTATATCGTATATAGGCACTGATGGGAAGCGGTCATTGGTGTGAGGCCGCAGGCTTACGAGTGTGATATTGCGTTTACACAACAGTTGACGGCATAATCATATATAAAAAAAAAAAAACAAGAGTCTAAAAATCATTTTATATGAGGAACTACTTTCTTCCACCACTCCTTCACATCTGCAGCTGACATCAGAACAGCAGAAGTCATTACTAATTCAACAATGTCATATTAGAGCTAGTGTTTGAATGATTCTCTAGTGTGATGTCTAAAGTGATGACAAACTGGTAATTTTGCTACATTTTTTATAGTTTAAGGCTAAATTACATGAAATTCCATCAATCTAGAGACATTCGCCAGTATTTCTCTGTTGCAATGGGATATCACAATATTTAATCCCGAAAAAGCCAAAGCCACGCAAAAACTACCAGATTACTGTTGTGTTTGTGATAAGGAAAAATGCTAAACACATGTGGCCATTACTTCTTTCTTTCTTTTTACTGAACTAGTCTGCAGTAATAAAAACAGGAAATGCTTTAGAAACAGATGGCCAAGCAAAAAATAACTACAAAGAGCTGCCAACACTAAACACATACATTCCTGATATGTGAGTCCCATCTCACACTCAATCCACACTACAATTAATACGGTATAAATAGTAAATATTCAGAAAATTCCCAGGCAAGTTCACATAGGCATTGACTTTGTGGAATTTTTTCAAACATCCATTCCAAAATACCAGCAAATTCTGACATCATTAACCAGAAATGAGCTGTAAACATCTGCTCCTTTATGTGTAAACATAGAAGGGATTGGGCATTTGTTGATAGTTTTACTTTTATTTAAAGCTTTAGCATTCATGTAGCTGCTTTTGTCCCAGAGACATGCGGAGACAGAAGCGCTAACCATGGCTAAATGTTTACACATTTGACTACATTACAAATTCTGTAAATGGATAAGTATTGTGAACAACTTTGTTGTAAACATAAAGTTGAAGTCAGAATTATTAACCAAATTAATGCAAATTCTTGTTTTGTAAAATTGTAGCAACAAATTTACTGTTATTTTTTTTTAAAAAAAGGCCTGTTTACAAGTGAAATTGCCGGTAATTTTCCGGATAAGTCTGTATTTGTAAAAGGAGCTAATGCTAAAAGATACTACTGTAAAAATCACCAAGGAGCTCACAGTTTATAACTGACCCTAAAATCGAACAAGCAAATTAAACTTTTCAACATTTGCACAAACAAAAGATTCATTTTAGAAGCTTTAGCCTCGTATGTGTGTGTGTGCACACGATACCACAGAAACACAGTCTGACTTTCTGAAAAATGCCTCCAGGCAATATTATGCAACTGTGCTTTCACTCTGCACTGCTTACATACTCCAGATTCTCACGGAAAATGATGTATTATATGTTGATTATGCATTTTCTGCGCATTTAACCAGCTGCTGCTGCATGCGTTGATTTCTTCAGGGTGTTTTTTTTTTTTTTCCCTTTGAACCAAGCAACATTATTTTGATGAGGTTTAAGGTTACAGTTTGAAGCCAGCGTGTTCTGCGCTACGGCTCTACCAAAGTGTCATGTCAGAGATGAGGTCCTTTCTTTTTTTGAGGGGGGGCTTATCCAATTAAAAAAGCAGTTAGTGTGTTGCTTTGAGCATTGAATGAAGTTTAACAATGACCCTGGAAGTATATCTGATGACAGCTGTTGTTGATGGGGTTTGTGTTTTAGTCAACCAACCAAAAATGAAAACCCCGGTGAAACAACACTTCAGCAGAGCAGAACAACCACTGTCAACAAATTAATGCTGCTCAGCTCGGATTGAAAATCGCACTTCAACGTAGCGCTTCGATGTTTTCAGCTTCAAGAGCGGCTGATTACGTGCACAATCAATAAATCACACAGATCTCTTCAGAAATGAAAATTAGAGTCTGCTGGAAGATTAGGACATTGTGACAGATCAGTTTCACGATCAAATTGGGATGTCCTTGGATCAGTTTCTTCTTAAAAAGCAGAGGTTTCATTTGATTGGCTGATTTAATGTGTCTTACGGAGTTCAGAGTGCATCAGGAAACAAAATGACAATAAATGGTGGTTTAAATGAGCTGTAATTGTAACTGGAGAACGTTTGCAGGGCTTAAGACATCGATTTTTGTTGTGTTTTTTGGAAGATAAGAGTTTGAGGCTCTTAAATGAGCGATAAATGTACAAATGTGTCTGTGTCTGTCACGGTCATGGGAAAGAGTCAGTTAAAGTCGCCATTAAATCAAAATGTATTCTTATGTTTATATGTACACTCACCGGCCACTTTATTAGGTACATCTGTCTCATTAACGCAAATTTCTGATCAGCCAATCACATGGCAGCAACTCAATGCATTTAGGCATGTAGACATGGTCAAGACGATTTGATGAAGGTTAAACCGAGCATCAGAATCAGGAAGAAATGTGATTTAAGTGACTTTGAACGTGGCATGGTTGTTGGTGCCAAACAGGCTGGTCTAAGTATTTCAGAAACTGCTGAATTACTGGGATTTTCTCACACAACCATCTCTAGGGTTTACAGAGAATGGTCTGAAAAAGAGAGCGGCAGTTCTGTGGGCACAAAGGTCTTGTTAATGCCAGAGGTCATAGGTAAATGGCCAGACTAGTTCAAGCTAAAAGGCATTAATAACTCAAATAACGACTCGTTACAACCAAGTTATGCAGAAGAGCATCTCTGAATGGACAACAGGTCCAACCTTGAGGCAGATATACCTATAGAAGATTGGAAAAACAGTGCTTGGTCTGATGAGTCTTGATTTCTGCTGCGACTTTCGAATGGTAGGATTAGAATTTGATGACAACAACATGAAAGCATGGCCCCATCATTGGTTCAGGCTGGTGGTAGTGGTGTAAAAGTGTGGTGGATATTTTCTTGGCACACTTTAGGCCCATTTGAGCCAACTGAGAATTATGTCAAACACCCCTGCGTTTGACACCCCTGCAATAGAGCACTTTTGGGATGTGATGGAATGGGAGATTTACATTATGGATATTTAACCAACAAATCTGCAGCAACTGCGTGATGCTATCATGTCAATATGGACCAAAATCTCTGAGGAATTGTTTTAGTACGATGTTGAATCTTTGCAGTTAAAGCAGTGCGGAAGGCAAAGGGGGGTTCAACCCAGTACCACTAAGGTGTACCTAATAAAGTGGCCGGTGAGTGTATATACCGTAGGATTTCTTGGCTTAAACAATGTATCCGCACACTTTATTAATTTGCAAAAGTGCTGTTGTCCTCATAAACTTTAATTAAACACCATAACCTTCCCTCCCTCTCGAAATGACTACATTTTCTTTCGAATTTTTATGTATTTCACTTCCTAACTTCTCTCCATCTCGTTGTCTTGGATATACACAATTAATCATGTTAATATGGAGACTATGCAAGGTGTGTCGGGCCCCACAAGTTACGGTAGGCCTCGCATACCCCATTAAACTTAGACAACAGAGACATGACTTACATAACAGAACCACGACATTATCTTCTGCTTTGTAGCTGTGTAGGGGCAGAACGCAAAGTGTTAGGAATCATTATAAATCTCAACAGCCAAGTATAGTTGTTTAAGTGCCTAGTTGCCATGGATACATTAATTTGAGTTGATTTAAAAGCTTAAACACATTCTATAATTGTTAGACACATTAAGTAAAGGTCATAAAAGTTAAATTATTAATAATAACTAAAAAACAAATCATTGTGAAATGATCAATGTGAAAATAACAACATTTTAACTCTTTAACTGCCTTCTTTACCAAATAGGTGACCATATGTT